GCCTAACGAGCTCCCAAGTGGTTCTGTCGCTGCTACTCTGTGGACCGTAATGAGGAGCAAGATTCTGGAGCTACACTGTCTGATACGGTAGCATTGAAGACACCCCAGATTTTGAAGACTTCATATAAAAAATAAAATATCCCAATAATTTTTATATTGATTGCACATTGAAATAATATTTTGGATATACTGGGTTATATATTAAAGTATTTTATTTATTCATTTGACAGAGAGAGCACAAGCAGGAGGAGAGGGAGAGGGAGAAGCAGGCTTCCCGCCGAGCAGGGAGCCCGACATGGGACTCGATCCCAGGACCCCGGGATCATGACCTGAGCCAAAGGCAGACGCTTAACCAACTGAGCCCCCCAGGCGCCCCAAGATTGATTTATTTATTTTAGAGAGAGTGCGTGTGCGAGCAGGGGGAGGGGCAGAGGGAGAGAGTATCTCAAGCAGACCCGCCGCTGAATGTGGAGCCCGAATGGGGGCTTGATCTCACAACCCTGAGATTATGACCTGAGCTGAGGTCAAGAGTCAGACACTTAACCGACTGAGCCACCCGTGCACCCCTAAAGATTTTATTTTTCAGTCATCCCTGCACCCCCCATGGGGGTCGAACTTACAAGCCCAAGATTGAGAGTCACATGCTCCACCAACCAGCCAGGTGCCCCTCTTTTTACTGTTTTTAAGGTGACTACTAGAAAATTTAGAATTTCACACATACCCTACGTTATGTTCATATCGGACAACGCTGTTCTAGAACACTAACGTAATAGAAACATTATTGGTGTTCTTTTTTTCGGTTGACCCCATTTCTCAGTCCCCTTGTTACCCATTTCACCTTCTGTTAGCTCAATTCATTATTTGTATCATCCTTTTCTCTGAATGTTTGCTGTTCCCGCCATTACTCTCCTTCCCACCTTCCTCATCTCCATCTTTGCCATCGGTGTTCTGGGGCTTCCATCCAGTCGTCCAACGGTCCTAAGAGCCACCATACAGGCAAGCAGCTTTGCTCAGAGTTTTTGGCCATGACACTCAAAGTGTGGTCCCTGGAGGCGAGAGCCCCACTGGGAGCTGGTTAGGAATGCAGAGTCTCCGGCCCTACCCAGACCCGTTGAAGTAGTCTTCTATTTAACAGAACCCCCAGGGGATTTTGTCTGCTCCTGAAAATGGGCGTGGTGAGGGCTTTGCCAGACATCTTTCCTAAAGCAACCCCATTTCAGTTCATCGCCACACTGTTCCTTCGGTTGGATCTGA